ACCTTGCACAAGAAGGGATCCTTTTGAAAGCCCCCACATGAAGGATTCAAAGTGAAACCCCCCACAGGAAGATCCCAATCGAAACCCTCCACGGGAGGATTCCTATCGAAATCCTCCGAAGAAGGATTCGTAACCAAATCATCCACATAAGGATTCCTAGTGAAATCAGTTGGAAGACTGGAATCCCGCCATCGGCATCGCATTGGCATTGGTTTGGCAACGGTTTGGCATCGCATTGGCATTGCGATGGCATTGCGATGGCAGTACGTTAGCAGTGCGTTGGCATTGCGTTGACATTGCGCTGGCGAGTCCTACTCAAACACTTCACAGAAGGATTCCCAGTGAACACTCCCACAAAAAGGATGCCTATTGAATCCCCCCCAAAAGAAGGATTCAAATTGAAATCCTCAACAGAAGGGTTCCATGCGAAGCCCTCCATAGAAGGTTTCCTATTGAAATTCCCCGAAGAAGGGTTTTTAGACGGATTGCTATTGAAATCTACCACAAACAATTCCGCGCATTGGCATTGCATTGGCATTGGTTTGGCATTGCGTTGGCATTGCTTCGGCATTGCGCTGGCGAGTTCGAGTGGCTCCCACCACAGAAGGATTCCTTACCTTCCACAAGAAGGGATCCTTTTGAAAGCCCCCCACATGAACAATTCATACTGAACCCCCCCACGGAAGGATTCTAATCGAAACCCTACACAGGTAGGATTCCGTTTGGAATCTACCACAAAGGATCCCCCCCATTGGCATTGCATTGGCATTGAATTGGGATCGCCTTGGCATTGGTTTGGCATTGCGATGGCAAGGCTTTGGCATTGCGTTAGCATTGCGCTGGCGAATCCTAATGGCTCCCTCCGCAGAGGGACTCCTACTGAAACCCTCCACAAGAGCGATTCCGATTGAATCCTCCCACATGAAGGTTTCTTAGTGAAACCCTCCACATGAGGATCTTTATCGAAATCCTGCACATAAGCATTTCTATTGAAATCCTCCGAAGAAGGATTCGTAATAACATCATCCACAAAGTATTCTTATTGAAATCCACCGAACGAAAGGATTCCCCCATTGGCATTGCATTGGCATTGGTGTGGGTTGGGGATGGATTTGTATCTCATCAGCATGCATTGGCCTGGTGCAGGAGATAGACAAAGAGAGAGAGAGAGAGAGACAAAGAGAAAGAGAGAGAGATGACACTAGAGAACGATAGAACGAGAAAATATTAGTATGAGGGGATCATGGCGAAAATGAAAATGACAAAAACAATCAACGTTTCAGGGTGAAAGAGCGTTTCATTCGATAAAAGCCGTATGAAAACGACGAGGGACTCCACAATCCCCCGGCCTCGAGAACCTCCTCCTCCTCCTCCTCCTCCTCCTCCTCCTCCTCATTCCTCCTCCTCCTCCTCCGCCACCACTTCCTCCTCCGCCACCTCCTCCGCCTCCTCCTCCTCCTCCTCCCAGGCGAAACCCCAGCACACCCACCCAGCGCACGGGGCGCCCACGAGGCGCCCACGGGCGGCCATCAACCAGGCACCATGCGAAAGCCCCGCCCCGGCACACCCGGTGCAGCTCAGTGCAAGCATTGCTCGCAGGGGACCGCGCACAGCCGAGGCAGGGCAAAGCGAGAATCGGAGTTTGATAGACCTCCTACCCTGACACGTCGATTAGTGAATTGGACGTTTTCGGTTCGCGAGAGGGCGTCGCAGCCGTTATGTTTGCGGGTCCAGGTCCGTCGGTTTCGGTCCTAGGCCGTTTTCACTACAGGGTGGTTTACTAAAGGGAGGTTTTGTCCACCGCCGAAAAAACCTCTCGGTGCAGACGCTGCTGGGGGGAGAAAACGAGGACTGATTGCAAGGCGGTGTTATTGCCACTCGACCAGCATGAAGGATCATCAATAATTGCATGCGTTGTCCCGCAATTCCGCCGATTGTCTGTGGTATTGACACTGTCGCTTCAGACGTGTTGCGGCCATTGATGATGATGATGATGATGATGATGATGATGATGATGATGATGATGATGATGATGATGATGTTGATGATGTTGATGATGTCGATGATGATGATGATGCTGATGATGATGATGATGATGATGATGATGATGATGATGATGATGATAATGATGATACTGATGATGATGATGATTGTGATGATGTTGAGCATGATGATGATGCCGATTAAGCTGATGATGATGATGATGATGATGATGATGATGATGTTAATGCTGATACGGATGCTGATGAACAAGGAGGAGGGACGGAGGAGAGTATGGCGGACGAGGGGGACGAGGAGCAATATTCTCCAAATAGGCTTGCCATATATGAGTCCTAGCTCACACCCTACTAATAGGTCCGTTGCCCCCCCCCCCTCTAATTTCTATCGCTACGGCTATGCCTATGCCCATGCCTCCCCCCTAACTCCTATGCCTACGCCACTGCCTCTGCCTGCTTGCTTGCGTGCTTGCTCGCTCGCTCGCTCGCTCGCTCGCTTGCTTGCTTGCTTGATTGCGCGCTTGTGCGCTTGCTTGCACGCTTGCTTGCTTGCCGAGTTGCGGATTCCAAGCATGCTTGATTCCTCTGATTCTTTGATGTGAGCCGTCTACTCTATTTCTAGTCAACGCTGGCTGATATGATGCTGATGCTTACGATGACGAGGAGAGACTGAGTAAGATGAGAACAAGGAGGAGGAACGGAGGAGAGTATGGCGGACGAGGGGGACGAGGAGCAATATTCTCCAAATAGGCTTGCCCTATAGGAGTCCTAGCTAAAACCCTACTAATAGGTCCGCTGCCCCCCCTAATTCCTATACCCCCCCACCTAATTCCTATGCGTATGCCTATGCCTATGCCCTCCAAACTCCTATGCCTACGCCAATGCCTATGCCTGCTTGCTTGCGTGCTTGTTTGCTTGCGCGCTTGCACGCTTGCTTGCTTACTTTCGTGCTTGCTTGCTTGCGCGCTTGCTTGCACGCGTGCTTGCTTGCTGAGCTTCGGATTACAAGCATGCTTGATTCCTCGGATTTCTTGATTTGAGTCGTCTAACTTATTTGTAGTCAAGGCTGGCTGATATGATTGTGATGATAATATCAACGACGACGACCATGATGCTGATGATGATGCTGATGATGGTGGTGGCTGATGATGATGATGATGATGATGATGATGATGATGATGATGATGATGATGATGGTTGTGGTGGTGGTGATGGTGGTAGTGATGATGCTGATGCGGATGATGATGAGGAGGAGCAGGGGGAGGAGGAGGGGGAGGAGGAGGAGGAGGATGAGGATGATGATGATGAGGATGAGGATGAGGATGAGGATGAGGATGAGGATGAGGATGAGGATGACAAATATGCCTACAGCCCGCTGGATTAAAAAGTGGAGACCGTGGGGATCTATAGAGAGACACTGTTGGCCTCCCGTTAGGCCGCGGGGCCCCGGGACAATGTTTGAGTTGGGGCGGTTGTGGGAATTTCCGATGCATCTTTCACCGCTTTCGAAAGAATAACTGCTGAATGGGGTCAGCGTCTGAAAATGCGATTCCGCCCGAAATTTTCTCTCACAACAATTTTCGGATCGTTTTCCAGGGCGATCTGAAAATTTGCCATGACATCTGAAAATGATGATTTCGCGTGGGATTCCCTCAGAAAAAAATTGACCGATCTTCATGCCGCTTGAGAGTGGCGATATCGCCTGAAAATTCCTCACAGAGTATTTTCCGGCCGCTTTTCACGCCGCCAGAGAGTGGCGATTTCGTTCGGGTTGTCTTGACAACCGCGCATCTCGTCCACCACGGCGGCGCCGTTCATCCGTTCGGGTCACGAGCCTATCTTGGAGTCATCTTGGGATCGATCAAAGATCGAAGCTCGAGGTGTTATCGATTGGCGAAGACCCAGGGGTTGTTCCCTCTCATAGTGCCGATCACAGCTTTTTAATACAGTAGGTGGTAGGATGGCTGTGATGATGGTGATGTTGATGTTGTTCTTGACGGTGGTGGTGATGGTGATGGTGACGTTGATGTTGTTGTTGATGATGTTCGTTGTTGATGTTGCCTTGGGGCTGACTGGGTCTCCTGTGGAGCAGTCTTGGGGGTGCTTTGGGGTTCTTTTGATTGTCTTGGTGGCTAATCGGGGCCGTCGTGAGGCCATCCTGGCTGTCTTGGGTGTATCTTGGGGCCGTGGTGGACTCGTCTTGGGGCCGTCGAGGGGCCATCTTATTGGAGGCTTCTTGATTCGTATTGAGGTAACTACAATATTTTGGCGTATTCGGACATCGTCGGAGGTCCTCCTGTGGCCGGCCATCTTCAGCCGCCCTCCGTCGTCTAGGCATCTTGGACCATCCTGGTGTCCCTGCACGAGCCGTATTTGAAGTTCTGGGCACGGGTACATCGTGTTTGCTAGGATTTGTGGCCTCGGGAGCGCAGATCCGTAATTCTTCTACGAGGGATCGTTGCTTCGGGAGGGAGGGGGTTTGCACTCGGCCGAATGCGAGTAAAAAGGGGGCGGGGTCTCTTATGAGAATACTGAAACCCTACCAGACAGCACTTGGCATTTTACCACGCCTTAACGTTCCAGTGAGCACGGTGATGGACAAGGATTCGTCCATCGCTGAGTCCGCACAGGGCAAAGTTGGGGGAGTTGAGGAGGAAGAGGAGGAAGAGGAGGAGTACGAGACAGGGGGGCATAAGTGGAGAATGGGGTACATAGTTGGAGGAGGGGGAGGAGAAGGAGGACCGCAATGTCGTTTCAAGATGATACGCGGTGTTATGCATCGAGTGTTGCGCATTTAGCTTGTCTGTCCATGCTTGACGCGACTGGTCGCGTCCGTGCCCTTGCTCACTTGGGAGGAAGGTTAGTCTGCAGATAGTCAGAGGAGCGTGCGATGATCTCGCGTGACGCTATGTGGATTCGATGTCATGGCTGCTTCTGATATTGTGCTGCTTTCTCTTTCCTCTCGCTCCTCCTCTTCGTCGGGCTCACTGCTTGACCGGGCAGGTGGATCAGGTGACGGCGATGCGGGCCGATTGGGAGAAGAGCCGCGGCGTCGAGTGGGCCTTTGGCATCAAGGGCGCCTCAGCACGCGTGAAGCTGAGCGGCCGCGGGGGATGGCAAGGCTTGGCTTCTCTCGGATGACAGATAGGTATGCACACCATGCTTGCCTTTCTTCCCCTCCTCATCCCCATCCTGAGCCCTTCCTCCATCTGTGACCCGTACTCCTCCCCCTCTCCATCCGAATCCTCTTGCCATCGGTTTTGCGCATCACTGTTGGATGCTGAGGTCGCCCTGCTACCGGACAGCACGTACTCCAGAAGATAGCTACAACAATAAGCCCAACACCAGGGCAAAATATTGTCCCCAAGGAACCCCTCCTTGGATGAAGAAATACATGGAGGAGCTGCGCGGAGGCAGGTCGCAGCTGAAGGGCTGTTTGAGACCCGCTTGTTCGTTCATGTTGGTTGTCTGTGACGTTGTGGAGCCAAGTGCATCAGACTTCAATTGCCCGTTCTGATTGTCTGTTTTGAGTCATCTCGAATTCACCACGCTGACGGGTCACGCGGCCGACGATCCGGATTCGTGGGTCGATCATTGTCGATCATGTTTTTGGTCGGTCCATTACAGGCTCCGCCAGCGAGAACAGATGGCATCGGGACAGCAGGAGCCAATAAGAGGAGGAGGAGGAGGAGGAGGAGGAGGAGGAGGAGGAGGAGAAGGAGGAGGAGGAGGAGGAGGAGGAGCGCCCCTTTCCACGATGGTGGTCGCGCCGAGGTGTGGAGCTCTTCCCCTCCGACGAGGACGAAGACAGCGAGGACGAGGATGGCGCCCCAGCCAGCCCGACGCAAGCGGGAGGGAGGGAGGGGAGGCGAGCGTGAAAGGGCGGGCGGAGGGAGTGATGCACTGCGATGGAGTCCTGGAAGTGGAGGCGGGTCGCAGGACATCTGCCTGTTCGCGAGCTGTCCGTCTTGCCCCTTCCTGCCCGGCAGGACTCCCTGGCGACCGAGGGCGTGCCGAGGGTGACGGGAGAGACGCCGCCCCAGGGCCCGCCCGGTTGCCCGCTACCCGCCCGTGTGCGTGTCCTCGCGCCTGCGCGCCGCGATATCCGATGTGCCGTTTCGCCAATGTCCGTTTTGTGACGCACCTTTTTTCGGATGCAACTCTTGGAAGGTCAAGCTCTGACTCTGCCCTGGTCCGAAATTCGGCTTGATCCAGCCTGATCTGGTTGAATCCCGCTTAATCCGGCTTAATCCCGCTTAATCCGCTCTCTAATCCGGGGTAACAGCCCCCCGATGGGGTTTAATCCTCCTTAATCTTTCGACGGAGACTTCCCCACAGTTGCCTTCGAACGTTTTTGTCGTTCGCAGTCGCACGCGGCCGCTGTTCGCATTGTGTTCACGAGCGCAAAGAGCGTTGCCCACGCGGCCCGCACAGCGGGGGCCACGGCGGGCTCCCACGGGAAAGTTTTGGACGCTGCGTGCGCCACCAGAACGCAGCAACCCTTCCGAAAACGATTCTGGGCGAGCTGTCGTGGGAAGGGGGGCGGAGGACTTTAATGAAGCAAAGGGGGAACTCAAACCGAAGCAGGGATCAGCACAAGCTGTCATGTTGCCTTGCTCCGCGCAGCGTGACTCTGCTTAGCATCGCCCTCGCGCAGTCTAGCATGTGCTTGCACAGCGTAGCAGAGGGCGACACGGGCGAGTTCAGTTGAGGTTGGCTAGGCGTGCCAATGTTTGGCTCACGTTGGATTTGCGTAGTTGGGGTGAGCTTAGCCTAGGCTGGGTTGATTGGTTTTGGTGCCAGGCGACTCAGCTTCTATTAGTGTTGCGGTGGTTAGCAAAACTCCGTGCTGCCTGGATTCGCTTCGACTAGCGTAGCGTAGCTTAGCCGGGATGTGCTTTCATGTATTTCGTGCAGTTCAGATTTAAGTGTCCCCCAATATACGTGAGGCCCTCTTGTGGCCTGTTTGGAAGCCTCTTGGAGCCCTCCTGGAGCTCTCTTAAGGTCTCTGTTCGGAGCATGTCAGGCCTTATTAGAGCCATGCTGGAGGTAATCGACAAACATACGAGGGGTGCTCGATCGACAAGGAGCGAGGGGCTCGTGACATGCAGCAGTTTTTTCTCTGGAACCCGAAGGTAACACATGTCATCTCTCGTGACCTGGTCCGAGCGAGCCATAACAGGCAACATATTTCGTTCTATGGGCCCCAAAGGGCGTAACATGTGGCAGAGTGGACTGGAAAAGCCGTAACATGCGGCGGCGGCCGCCCCGTTGGTCCAGACGAGTGTTTGACAGCTCGCGTGTCCTAGGCCAAGATAGCCGTAGTATGTAGCAGCTCTCTTTCTTTGGATCGTAAGGCACGTTACCCGTGGCGGCTCTTTTTCCCGTGGTCCCAGAAGGGCGTAAAATGTCACAGCTCGCTGCCCTAGGCTGAGGAAGCCATAATATGTGGACCCGCGTCAACTCAGTTTTGCCCCTGGTTTGCTTTCAGCCAGCCTTGAGCAACATATTGCGTCTAATAGATGTTCAATTGAACGCCCCTGAGGGGGCAGACACCGCCGCCCCATTTTTTTTTGGAACGCGGAGGTTGCGTGGGGGGCAAATCGGGATGTAGCGCGGGTGTTCACTTAGCTTTGGCTGGGTTTTTGTTAAGTGGGGTCTTAAAGACTCAGAAAGCCCCAAGAGAGCCGGAACATGACTTAAAAAAGACGCCAGATTGGACAATAAGGTCTCAGAGGCCTGGAAAAATACGAACGCGGGGTCTTAAAGGCTCTCAGAAAGCCCCAGGAGCCGGAAAATGATTTAAAAAGACGCCAGAAATCCGTAAGAGAGTCGGAACATGATTTTAAAAGGACGCCTGAGGGTGTGCAAAAGTGTGGACGACAGGAAAAGGCATACGGAGAGGCGTACAAACGAGATACCAGTTAGTTTGGGGGCTCCGGGGACCCCCTGGGCGCGCCCAGGACGGCCCAAGAAAGCCCCAAAAATGCTGCCAGACGGCCCAGGCCGGGGTCGGGAGGCGTGGAGGACAGCCGCAGAGAGCGCCCGCTGATTCCAACGTGCGTCCAAGAGCCCGCGAAGACGCACGTGAGCTCGAAACGAGGCAAGAATAGAGGCTCGACAAGGCCAGAATGGACATAATCATATGTGTTTTACGAGGTTTTTTTGCGTGTTGGTTTTTGTAGCCGAAGTGGGCCGAGGAGAGGTGGGCGGGCTGCCAGACTGGACCAAAATGGCATGGAGGACGGCCAAGATCGCCCCAGGAGAGCGTCTGGAGGCCTCCAAAATCGAGCCAGTGAGCTCCCCGAGAGGCCTCTGAGAGAGGCCGGCGGCGCCTTGAAGACGAACATTTCCAAGGAGGTGTGTTCTGAAGCGAAGATGATGTCCAAAGAGCGCTCATTCCGCAGCTGTGGCCCCCGGGACGGCGGAATGAGCAGGCCGCGGGGAGGACCCCAGGAGGGGTTGCAAGGGCTCTGAGGAATGGATATTGGTACGAGGAGTTCGTGTGCGCGCAGATTGAGGGGACTGAGTTCGTGCAGACCATGCGGCGGGGATCTCGCGCGCCGTTCCCGTTGGGGCGGCGGATCGCTTCGCTCATTTCGCCGGCCCGTATTTTGCCATCGCAGGCGTTTGTTTGCGCGTTCGTGGCCTTTGGGGGGCCGTTTGGGGGCCCCTCGGGGCCTCTCATTGCAATGTTGGGCCTCTCGGGAACCTCGTGGGGCCTCCACGGGGTCGCCTGGGCTCTCTTGGGGGCCTCTTGAGGCCTCCTGGGGGCTTCTTGGGGTGGAATGCTGGAATTGGTGGTTCGTGTTCCCCCTCTTGGGGCCATCTGGGGGCTTTTTTGGACCGTATTGGGGCCCTACTGGGAGCCTCTCGGGCCGTTTTGGGCCGGCCTCGGGGGCCTCCCACCTCTGGGGCCATCTTGGAGCGCCGGGAGCCCGAAAACGCTAGAACGCAAAACACATAAGAAAAGCTTAAGGACAATCAGTGATTTGTGTGTCTTTGGGCCCTCTTCGGGGTCCTCTTGGAGCACTCTTGGAGCTTCGTCGGGGCCTCTTGGGCCGTCTTGGGGCCATCTTGGGCTTTTTGGAGCGCTCTTGGGCCGTGATTCCGGTTCGTGGGCCCTTTTGAAGCTGCCTGTAGGTTCCTCGGGCCGCTCCTAGGGCGATCTGGAGGGCCCCGAAAACCGGCCCGGGGAGTTCTGGCATCCTTGGGCGGACCTTGCCGGGACCTTGCCAGGAGTCGGCCGGGTCTTTTTTCGTCTGGTGACCCCCAGGGGCCGCCCCGCGCGCGCGAACTAGAATATTCATATACTCTGTGACCCAGTACCAGTTACCAGAAAACTTAGCACGCCTCTGGCCCGTTGGGCCGGCGAAACAAAGGGTTACACCTGCTTCGGCGCGAGGAGCGCTGAATCTGCCGCTGTTCGAGGCGAAGCCGATCCAGGTCTTCGGCACTTCTCTTCTGACTGTAAGGGGGCGGGGATGAGGGAGGGAGGGAGGACAGCGGGTAGGAGGGGAGGTGGGAGGCGGGGTAATTAGGAGGAGGGAGTTGTGGAAGGGAGGAAAGGACAGTCATCCTCCTTCCCCACCCTCTCCCAGAGGGGGGAGGGAGGACAGCGGGTAAGAGGGGAGGGGAGAGGCGGGGTAATTCGGAGGACGGAGTTGTGGAATGGAGGAGAGGACAGTCCTCCTCCGTCCCATCGTCTCTCAGAGGGGGGGTCCTCCCTCCCCCCTCCTCCTCCCTCCCAAAGGAGGGGTCCTCCTCCCTCCCCTCCGTCCTCCTCCCTCCCTCCTCCCTCCCCACTCTCTCCAAGAGGGGGGGGGGCAGAGTCAAAGCTGCTCAGCTTGGGCTGCGCCGCGGTCCTTCGAGCTGCCCCAGGTCACGCTGCAGGTGAGCCTCAACTCGGCCCAGGGGTGCTGCCAAGGCCTGGCTGCGAGAGAGAGAGAGAGAGAGAAAAAAAGAAAGAAAGAGAGAGAGAGAGAGAGAAAGAGCAACAACAAATGAAATACATAAAGAAAGAAACAAAGAGCAACCGAGACAACGATATAATAGAGGAGGAGGATGAGGAAGAGGAGCAGGAGGCGGAGGAGGAGGAGGGGGGAGAGAGAGATAGAGAGAGAGAGAGAGCAATATAGATAGCGATAGAAGAGGACGGAAGGAGGAGGAAGAGGAGGAGGAGTAGGAAGAGAAGGAAGAGGAGCAGCAGCAGCAGCAGCACGAAGAGACCGAGGACGAGGATCTCGATGAAGAGAAAGCGAGAGGAAGGCGCGTTGCCAGATTGGTGACTCCTGGGGGAGGGTGCTGCCAAGGCCTCGCTCCTGAGATTCCCCTAGCGAGGTGTTGTCTCCTCCTCCTCCTCCTCCTATCATAGCTCCTGCGTGTGAAGGTGCAAACGAGCATGAGAAGAAGGATAATGGGAGATGGCGGCGCGGGAAGGAGATGGCGACGACGGCTTCGCAGCGCCGCGCAAGCGCACTGATGCATCGTATGGTACCACTGGTGCCACTGTTACGTCTGGGCACTGACGCTCCATCCGTGAAGAGTCATGTATCATGCTGATTGGTCATCGCCGGAAGCAGGAGGAAGCGGTGCTCTCGCTGCCCGCCGCGGCGAGGGGTATCAGCCAGACCGCTGCGTCGTCCGGCCCGTCAGCACTCGGTGATGCGGAAGCTTGGAAGAGCGCGGCCACGGGCCATCCTTCTCCTGCGTGCTCCCTCTCCTGCTCCTGCTCCGCTCCCCTCCCTCTCCGCGGTCTGGGCGTTTCGCCTTGGACTTTCTCACCACTTGCGACCCTGAAGCATGAACATTCGCAACAGTTTCACATATAGAGTCGTTTTCAAATTGTGGCTCTGGCCTTAGCGCCGCGCACATTCGTTGTACAAATTTGAAGAGTTTCACGGGTTCAGGGGGCGGGTTTCAAAATGTGGTTCTCGCTTTAGCGCCGCGCACATTCATTTTAAATATTTGCAAGAGCTTCACATATTGAGGGCGGGTGGTTTTCAAAATGTGGTTCACGCCTTAGCGCCGCGCACATTCGTTTTAAAACAATTGCAAGAGTTTCGCGGATCGAGGGCGGATGGTTTTGAACATGTGGTTCTCGCCTTAGCGCCGCGCACATTTTTCGAGAAATTGTAAGAGCGTCACGAATTGAGGGCGGTTCCTGCGCCGTGCACAGTCGCTCCAAAAAATTGCAAGAGCTTCACGGATTCCCATGATCGACGTACCAGAAAAGGTGTTGTGGAAGGATTCACGATTATGAGGGTGCAAGAGGTACGATGCTTCGTGGTGGTGAAGTCCCAAGAATGGCGTTCTGGCACGGTTTAGGGTAGTCAAGACGCAACAGTCAGGTTGATGCGTGGCGTTGGAATCCCGAGAACAATGTTTTGGCATGCTTCAGGCTCTTCAAACGGTTGTCTTCCAACGAGGCAGGTCATTCAGTGGAAGTGAGCCGTTGTAGGGGCCCATGAAGACGGAGCTTGGGGGGAGCGTTTATTCCAACATCGTTTGTTACACTGGTCCTCCTCCTCCTCCTCCTCCTCCTACGCTAGTGGCACGAGGTCCTTTTGTTGAGGTGCTGCCAGTGCTCCTTCTCCTCCTCATCCTCCTCTCCTTACTCCAATTGGAGCAGACAATCTCCCTTCCTTCGGGCGCTGCTCGGCCACAGCCACACGGCGGCTACCGTGGCCCAGGAAGCTGGAGAGGAGGTCGAGCGCCGCGGCCGGGCCCGCGCCCTCGCCTCCTTTCCCTCCCCCGCCCCATCCTCCTTCAGGAGGGGAACAAACACAGAGACACAACTAATCGTCGATCCCCCGGAAAGTATGGGAAAATCAGGGAAGTGGGGAGGAAGACGAAGACCCAGAAGCTATGGGAAAGTATCTGGAATCCTGGGGTTTGTGTGTATTTCTTTGCGTGTCCCTGGACCCCTTCATCCTCCCGCGCCCCCCGCAGCGGCTGCGCGAAGGCGCCAGATCGCGTGAGTTCGAGGTTTGCCTCAGCCTGCTGGTGCTGCTGCTCCTCCTCCCCCTTCCTGTCGGGCCGAACGAAAGGGGGGGTGCCACGGGGGGGGGGGAGCTCGGTCCGTTGGCGCATCAAACCGCAGAAAAACGGTGCAAAACGAGGTCTCCGACCGCCGCCGGAACCCGAGAGGTGTCGACAGTCGGGGCGCGCTGGGGGGGCCTCGTTCTTCGGAAATCCGATGCGCCAGCAGATCGAACGCACCCTCGGGGTGCCCCCCCCCTCTGTTGGTGGAGCCCGATCCTGCCGCCCCCCCCCCCCCGCAGTCGATGAGGTGTGCTCCCGGGCCGAGCCGAAGCGCTCAGGCCAGGGCCAGGCGGGCGGCGGGCGCCGCGGGCCCCCCGAGGCCGACGGCCAGCCTCGGGGGGCCCCGCCCGAGGTGGGGCGCAGCTTCGGGCGGGGACAGGCATCGGAAGCTGGAGCATACACTTCAAGTCGGGCCTGTCCCTCTACAGGAGGAGTATTCAAAAATAGTGAAGAAATAGTAAGGGGACTATTTTTTAGACTATGTTTGAGCATCACGTTGGTAGTTCTTTTGAGTATTTTAATTTTTTCGCCCAGAACCCCCCTGTAGGGGGACAAGCCCCACCCAAGCATATATATATATACATATATATATATATATATATATATATATATATATGTGTGTGTGTGTCCAGTGGCGGGCTGTTTTCCAAGTCCATGGCTTTTTGAGGGTCGGGGACGACGTCGGGGTGGTGTGGCGTATGTTTTTTCCCGTTTTCCATGGGGAAACAGCGAAACATGTATACACCATAATCCCGTACACACCTGAATCCGCTTTTTTGTGCGAGTCTCAGTGCGGGGCCGCAAAAAGCGTCGATGCATGTATTCCAGCTCCTTAGAAAAGCTCTCCTTTGAGGGGCCCCCCAACCCCATTTTCCTGTCTCCCCCCTTGGCTCTTCCCTCATGGGCGGTGAGCCCCCCCCCCCATACTCTGGATCCGTCCTACTTTGGACAAGTTCGTGCGTTAGTAGGGCGTCGTTCCAAGCTTCTTTTATGCCGATTTCGGCCCTACCTTGCCGTCGCTGCTTCTGCCATACCTCTGCGCAAGTATCTGCCTTGCTGTCTAATGACCGTCGGCTCATCCCGCCACCGTGCCTGGATTGATTGTCAGAGTTCTCATGGATGCTTCTTCGGGTCTCTTCAGCGAGTTCTCGGGAGCCTCTTGGGAGCAGTTTGGGGGCTTCTTGGGAGTCTCTTGGGGGCCTCTTGCGGGCCTCCTGGGGCTTCTTTGTACCCTCTTGGGACCTCGTGGGGGCCTCTTGGGGCTTCCTGGGAGCCTCTGGGGCCGAGGGCTCGTAAAGTTCGCTCGGGCTCACCATCGGGGCCCCCTCTTGGGGCCAAATTTAGGTTTTCTTGCATCGTCTCAGGCGCCTCTTCGGCCGTCCTGGGGCCCTCTTGGGCCTTCTTGGGGCCCTCTTGGGGGCCTCGTGGGCCGTCTTGGAGCGCAGGGAAGCCGAAAAAGCGAGAACGCCCAAATCCTTCAACAACTTCAGGACAATCAATGATTTTGGCCTTTTCGGGCTCTTGGGAGGCCTCTTGGAGGCCTCTCTGGCCATCTTGGGGCCCTCTTGGAGGCCTCTGCATTCGTTTTGGGGCGATCTTGGCCGTCTTGGAGTGTCGGGAAGCCAAGAAGGCGAGACCGCCCAAAGCCTTCAAAGACAATGGAAATCGATGATTTAGCCTCTTGGGGCCCTCTTGGAGAACCTCTTGGAGGCATCTTGGGGCGTCTTGCAAGCTTCTCGGGCCGTCTTGGGGCCATTTTGGGCGTCCTGAGGCGATTTTGGGGGCGTCTCGGGGCCCTCTTGCACCCTCTTGAGGGCCTCTTGCGGTGCCCGTTTCTTCGCCCCCCCCTCTGCCTCTTCCTCCTCCTCCTCCTCCTCCTCCTCCTCCTCCTCCTCCTCCTCCTCCTCCTCCTCCTCCCCCTCCCCCTCCCCCTCCTCCTCCCCCTCCTCCTCCTTCTCCCCCTCCTCCTCCCCCTCCTCCTCCTCCTCCTCCTCCTCCTCTTCCTTCTCCTTCTCCTCCTCCTCCTCCTCCTCCTCCTCCTCCTCCTCCTCCTCCTCCTCCTCCTCCTCCTCCTCCTCCTCCCCCACGTTCATCGCCCCACCCACGAAGCAACGCTCGATCCTTGGCACCCCTCACGGTGGCGCGAGTCGCTGGGAGCATTCTGGGCCAGGGCGTCGCTTTTGATAACCTCAGAGCTGGCACGAGGTCCACGAGCAGCCCTCGTGTTGGAGGAGTTGCGCTCGTCGTGCTTGGCCCTCCACCTTGGGATGGCCCTCTTTTTTGGGGGGCACCTCGATGGGGCCTTGGGCTCGCGGCGGTGGGGCCCATCTTCATGACCGGCGTTATTTTGACCTTGCCTCGGCTGTATCGCCTCTGGCGCTTCTTCGCCCCCCCCCACTTCAGCGACGCAAGAAAAAACGGGCACGTTTTCGCCGACATTGGCACGTAAGTTGCCCGCGTAAGCTCGCGCGTGAGCGCCCTCGTCTCCAGTGTGGCGTGCCGCGCTGGCGGCCCGCGTAAGCCACCGCGTAAGGTCGCTAGGTCATCTCGCGTGAGACCCGTTTCTGATCCTCACCCACTTGTCGCCCCCACTGAAGCGCAGCCCCGCGCACCGCGGACCGCTCCGCGCACCGCGGAGGCAGCGGCGCGGAGCCGCGCCTCGAGGTGGCGCTGTCGTGGCAGCCCGCCGGCACGCTCGCGGGCGCCGCGCCGCCCGGTCCGCCGCGCGGCTCGCTGGAGGCCTGGCGCCCGCGGGGCGGAGGGGGGGCCATTGAAAAACACCAGTTGTCATACAATACAAACCGGTCGTTATACAAAAAACGGTTGTCACAGAAAACACCGGTTGTCATAAAAACAAGGGTTGTCATAGAAAACAGCGTTTGGCACCACAAAAACACTGGTTGCCATAAACGAAAAAAAACGGTTGTCGTAAGAATACGAAGCGGCTGTTTTTGTTATGACAAACGGTTGAGGGCAGCTGGTTGCTATTTTTTATGACAGCCGTTTTTTTGTATGACAACCGGTGTTTCTTTTGACAACGGGTGTTTTTTATGACAGCAGGGGGTTTCTCCCGTTCGCCTGCTGATGGGGGTTCAGGCTCAGGCTTCGCGGGGTTAGAGTCAGCGGAGGGCAAACTGAGGAAAGCCATGTTGCCCGAGAGGAGTGCTGGCCCCGGCGAAGAGCTTCCAGAGGAATTGCCAGGAAAAAACCAGGGAGGGCACACCTGTTCAGACAAAGGCGGCCCCGAGCAAGGCCAGGCCAATCGAAGATGAAACAAACTCATAAACATAAACTTTTGGCGCTCCGCGCGGATTTCTTGGATCTGCGCTGGGCCCCTCTGGCGGCGCCTCCGGCGGCGCCCTGGCGCGCTCCGCGCGCCAGGGAGGGGGGTCCAGCGCAGATCCGAGAAATCTGCGCGGTGCGCCAAAAGTTTATGTTTATGCCGTTTTTACTCCATCTAATCAAGGAGTTCCTGACCCCCCAGAGGCTGACCCTCACTGGCAGGCGAAGGATCCTTCCCCCTCCCCTCGCTCGCGCCCGCCCCTGCCTCCTGGAAGACCTCTCGCGCCACGGAGGCGCGCGGAGGGCGGTGTCCTCCCTCCCTCCGTCCTTGTCCTGTCCTCTCTCCTCTCCCTCCTCTCCCTCCCTCCCTCCCTGGGTCCCTACCTGCCTCCCTCCCAACTTCTTCCCTCCCTCCTTCCCTCCCTCCCTCCTTCCCTCCCTCCTTCCATCCCTCCCTTCCCTCTTTCCCTCCCTTCACTCCCTCCTCCCTCCTGTCCTCCCACCCTCCCTCTCTCCCTCCCTCCCTCCCTGCGTCCCTGATATGGTCCATGCGCTTGCGCTTTCCCCATTTCGCACGGTGCTTCCCCACTCCTTCCTTCCCTTCCCCTCCCTCACTCCTCCCTCCCCCTTCCCTCCAGGAAAGCCTCGACCCACAGAGACGTTCGGAACGCGAGACACGGCGCGCCGAATCCTGGGCGCAAGAGCGAACCCAGGAACGCGACACACACGAGCCCAGGACGCCGAGCCACCAGACACCAGAGGTCCCACCGAGGTCCTGGGGAGTATGAAGAGGAGCATGTGTAAGAGATCGTAAGAGGGTGCCGAGAATGAGCAGGGGGCGGAGGCGGAGGAAAGGTAAAAGGAGGAATACGCATCGTAGAAGTTTCAACCTGTTTTGTGTTTTCCCTTAGACACACAGAAACAATACGCATGATCACCACAACTCGTATGATCGCCACATTGTGCTATTGAGGACGGCCGAGACGGAATTGCCGTGTCGACCTTGGACCGATCAGTTTCGTCAGTTTCGATCTCGGCCGAAATTATCCAGGCAGTGCCTGCAGTAGAAGAGCCTCTTCTCTCACCTGCGTGCTTGGATTGGTCTACCGGGGTTGCGCCTGGTGCCCGGTTTCGCAGGCCTAGAGGTTGACACCAACACCAATATCGGCGGCGTGCCTCCACCGAGGGAAGACGATCCCGATCTCCGTGATGGTGGTATGTAATATTCTGGCTTCCAAGGTGGCCGAACTATTACTACCAACACCGAAATCTGGGATCATCTTCCCCTGTGGAGGCAACCCCCCATGTGTTTGTGTTGGTGCCCATCTCTAGGCCTCCAGCGGTTGGTGGTCGCCATAGGGCGCCTCGTGGACGCCCGGTGCGCTGGCCGGTTGGTGGCCGCCCGAGGGGGCCTCGTGGACGCCCGGTGCGCTGGGTCTGCTGGGGTTTCGCCTCGTGGGCGCTCGGTGGGCGCTCCGTGGGTGCCCCGTGGCCCGTGGCCGGCCGCCCGCGGGCGCCTCGCGAGCGCCTGCACGGCTTGCACCGCTTGCGTCACGCAGCTTCGCAGCCACACGGCCAGCAGCGCAGCGCATCGATGGCACCATGCACAGACAGCATCGCATAGCTCGCAGCACTCTCGCGCACACATCAAAAGTGTAGGGCAGTGCACACCGTGGGTGCAATAGCCTGCTACGTGTTGTCCACCCTCGATATAATTCAATTATTTTGATGAGGTTTCAGGCGAAGTCGTCATTTCGGCTTGGACAAGTTTGGCATTTGTGGTTGGAAATGAATGTGTCCGAAAAGTATAAGTAGAGGTTTTCGTATGAGGGCACTTCCTGGAAAACATTGTTCGCCAGTGTGAACCCAAACCTGATTTGATGCATCGCGTATGCGCGTTATGATATTGATGATGCAATGTTGATGCAATATACGTGGCGCAATTAATGTTTGCACAAGTTGCAGTCGCTGACTCCACTGCTTGTGCAAACATACCACCCTCCCACCCGCAACTTGCTTGGCAAAACCCATTCGGTCACGATTGCGTTTCCCGATGTGGATTTGTTAGCGCGTATTTGCGGCTGCCCTGGCACGCAAACGCTTTTGCGCAGATCGGCAAATTTGTTTGGAATAGTTGATGCCGTGATAACGCTTGCCGATGGGAACTTCCCAGCGCGTCTCAAAGGCCGCGCTGGCGCGCGGGCACTTCAGTGCGGGTCGGTGGCTCGGGCGGGCGCGAAATAATGATGACGTCGACAGCGGCGGCAGCGATATTAGCGATGGTGCTGGGGATGATGGCGACGACGACGGCAAGGCCAATGGCAGCGCCGAGGCTGGTGACGACGATGACGATGATGATGTCCACGTATTGGTGAAGGTGATGATGATGATGATGATGATGATGATGATGATGATGATGATGATGATGATGATGATGATGATGATGATGATGATGATGATGATGATGGCGGAAAAGTTGGCGATTGCGATGAAGATAACGGTGGTGATGCGATGGCGCCGTTGAGGGCGATGAGAAAGTGCGCTCACGCGCAGAATTCCAAGACAGTTGGAAGTTCTAGTGCTCTGGGAGGCACTGTGGTTTGTGCCCTCTGGAGGTCTTCCCTGGGGATGTGCATCTGGAAGGTCTGTTTGGGTTCTGGGGGTCGTCATTCGGGAGCACTGTTGAGAGGGCAGTCGTCCCGCTCGGGGCTCCCCGGAACTCCGAATCGCGGGAAGCCCGCAGGCATTCGGAAAACAGGCATTCAGCGAGGGCCTCTGGTTTTTCTCTGAAAAGGCTTGCCCTATGGGAGTTCTAACTCAAACCCTACTAATTGGTTCGTCGCCCCCCCCCAAAAAAAATCCGATGCCCCCCCCTAATTCCTATGGCTATGCCTATACCTCCCCCCTAACTCCTATGCCTGCGCCTATGCCTATGTCCATGTCTGTGCACATCATCACCATCATCATCCACTATCTATTTGGAGTCAACGCTGGCTGATATCTCATAATTCGCGGGCTTGCGTGGGCGACTTGGGAGCCTGTTGGGTGTCTGAGGACCGTGTTGTGCGCGAAGGTTCTGTCGAGCTTTCCCGACGAGGCCCGATTGGACAAGGGTTGGGCCCTCTGGGCAGTTTTCGGCCGTCTTGGGGCTCCCTCGTGGCGTTCTTCAACTGCTGCCTTAGAGGGTTATCGGGCCGTCTTGGGAGCTTCCGGATGCCTTCCGAGACCATCTGAAGCCGAAACGCGTTGGACACATACATAATGCAATTCAGTCAAGTCATGTTGTTCTATTTTTGCTTGCTTCCCAAATCCTCGCTGCAGGCTTCCTCGGGCGCCGCACCTGGTCTTGGGGAGTCTCGGGTCTATCTTAGGGCGTCTGGCCGCTTGGCAAGCCACCAGGGACACCAGGGACTGCGGGGGACTGAGCCGGCCGGGCACTTTCAGGGAGTTTTGACCAGATGCTGGTCGGTCTTGCCGAACATTTGGTCATGGAATCCACTAGTGTGCTGAGCTGCGGGTGTCAGTGTAGTTCATACAAGCTGGAAGTAGCAGTAATGGCGTCTAGAGCAAGAATCTGAGGATGAAGAGAAATAGGAAGAGTAACAAAACTATGAACGATACAAGCAATATGGGAGTAATGCGTGTTCACTAGCTCATCGAGGATTGACTATCGGGTAAGTTCCTATGGGAAGGGACGTGGAGGAGCATTAGTGAAAGAAGGGGGTGCACTTGTCAAACCGACGCTATCATTAGCCAAGCGCGAGGAGTAGGAAGGGGAGGAGGAGGAGGAGGAGGAACTTAGGAGGAACCCCAGAAGGGCGATGGAGACGAGGAGGAGTGCGACGAGGAGGAAACGGAATGGGAAGAACTGGGATGATGATGATGATGATGATGATGATGATGATGATGATGATGATGACGACGATGACGATGACGATGACGATGACGATGACGATGACGATGACGATGACGATGACGATGACGATGACGATGACGATGACGATGACGATGACGATGATGATGATGATGATGATGATGATGGTGGTTGTGGTGGTGGTGATGATGACGATGATGATGGTGGTAGTGGTGGTGATGGTGATGGTGATGGTGATGGTGATGATGATGATGATGATGATGATGATGATGGTGGTCGTGGTGGTGATGATGATGATGATGCTGATGATGATGATGATGATGATGATGATGATGAGGAGGAGGAGGAGGAGGAGGAGGAGGAGGAGGAGGAGGAGAATGGGGAGGAGGAGGAAGATGAACAAGATCAAGAGGAAGAGGAGGAGGGGGAGGAGTTGCAGGGACATTGTAGGGTATCGAATTGCCGTTTTGCAGTGTATTGCATGGCTTTGGTTTGCAGGGTAGTTTAGGGCCACTTTAGAAGGTATTGCTAGGGTCTTTGCAGGGAGTTTCGCAGGGTATTGCAAGCGTGCGGCGAGGCCCTGGGCAGAGCAGGGCGAGTGGCTACTATTTGTTTGGAAAGGGCTGGGAAGCTAAACCGCGCCTCTGGGGCTGACGGGGGCAAGCAATATCACGAGGGCGCGGGGACACGACGAGGGTCTTGCCGCGTCTGCCTGGGCTTACTGCCAACAGCCGCCCTGCCGCGGAGGTCGAGATCCTCCGCGCCAGCGACTTGGGAGGACTTGAGGACGCGGCATCCCCAGCCTCACTCACTGCTTTTGACCGCTCACCCCTGCCCACCCACCTGCTCCGCCTCCTCCCTCTCCACCCCTGATCCTCAGTACTTCGTTGCCTCAGCCACTTCTCCGTCGCTATGTAGGTCCTCCTAGACGCTTATTTCTGCCAGCTTGTCTGCGCCGTCGGTCTGTATATCGATTCGTTGCAATGCGCCAACCTCGTTTCCGTTTCGGATCCGTTCGACACCGCCTATTTAGTTTCTATGGCATGTGCATGTGTGGTGCCGCTTGAGTGGGCTTGTCGAAAGGTGTGTGTGTGTGTGATCTATATATATAGAGAGAGAGAGAGCGTGTATATGTGTACATGTGTGTGCGTGGTTGTGTGCTGCGTACGTGTGTCCGATTTACTCGAGCGCAGTCCGGTCTGGTCTTGGATCCGCTGACTGCATACATCAGTCCTTGCCAGACAGCAAACATGCATATGCGTTCCGACTCCGTGCTTTCCTTACGATTTGCACCCAGTGGGGTGTGCGAGGGACAGACGGCGATGCTTAGGAGTGGGTGAGGAGCTAGGGGCGCTAAGGACGACGACGACGACGACGACGACGACGACGACGACGACGACGACGACGACGACGACGACGACGACGACGACGACGACGACGACGACGACGACGACGACGACGACGACGACGACGACGACGACGACGACGACGACGACGACGACGACGACGACGACGACGACGACGACGACGACGACGACGACGACGACGACGACGACGACGACGACGACGACGACGACGACGACGACGACGACGACGACGACGACGACGACGACGACGACGACGACGACGACGACGACGACGACGACGACGACCGACGACGACGACGACGGCGGCGACGACCGACGACCGACGACGACGACGACGACGGCGACGACGGTGCAGATCGTGCAGAGGGTGCAGCATGGGCCGAGAGGCAGCCTGGCAGGTCAACCTGTCAGCAGGCGCCCGACGGCGCACGCGCCGCGGCCGCCCAGCTCAACCACGCTCGCACATGACTTCTGACTCCTCAACACACCAGCGGCGAGTGGGCCGAGGCACCGCCGCCGCGGGGGTTTTAGAGCGCAACCCCGAACCTACTGCAACGGCTCGCTCCGACCGAGGCGCACCCCTGCTCGACCTTCCGCAGCTCCCCCTCGGGGCGGAGGACGAGGAACTGCCGCTCCTCGCTGCTGGCCACCTCCACGAGGTGCAACCACCCGCTCCTGGGCCCTCCCAGGCGAGCGCGTCGACGAGGTTCAGAGCCCCGAATCATCAGGGGTGCCTTGGGTCAGGGCCAACTCGGGTTTGTTTTTCGGGAGTCCGAGCCCAACTTAATCGCCCCGGGCCCGAGTTACCCCAGATAATTCAGGCGTCCAGAGCCCTAAATCATCAGGGGTAACACGGGTCAGGGCTAACTCGGGTTCGTTTATCTGGAATCCAAGCCCGAGTTACCCCAGATAACTCGGGCGCCCAAGAGGTGAGCAGCACTCGGCGCGGAGCCCGCCTCGATGGACCGGGGGGCGAGCTCGGCCTCCTCGCCTTTCCCTGCGCTCACCTCCCCGGCCTCGCCGCCCTGCTCCTTCAGCTGGTCCTCGTTTCACCGGGCGCGTTCCACCACTCGCAAAGTGCCTTACTCGCAAGCGTCCGAAAAAAACATGCTTTCCTTTACGCAAAGGATCGTAAATCCCTCGTGGGTGCCCCATGGTGCCCCTTGACACGGAGGAGGACAGGGATGCTGCCCCTTGACACGGACAGCATGCTCCTCCGCGCTTCCCCCGCGCCGCCGGCGCGCCCGCCGCGGCCGGGCTGCCGCCGCCCTACGCCGGCGTCGCCGGGAGCTCCGCTGGAGCGGCGGGCCGCGGCACGGGCGGCGACGGCGGCGAGCCTCGCCGGCGGCCGGCGGCAGCAAGGAAGGCATGCCCCGCCCGGGGCTCGCCCGGCAGGGCCAGTCGCCCCGTCGCGAAGAGGAAGCTGAAGGAAAAGGCCCAGTTGGCGTCGCGGCGCCGAGCCTCCGCCATGGCGGTCGGAGGCCTCGCGGCGCTGGAGACCGCGTCGGCCCGACCGCGGACGCAGGTGAAGTTCCAGTCGCTGTTCCAGGAGTTCCAGTCCTGGCTGCAGGCCCCCGCCCCGCCCACGGAGGCGGAGGTCGACGCGGCGCTGGCGAGCTGGCTAGAAGCCATGTTCCTGGACGGCGAGAATCTGGGCATGGCGCAGCGGGGCTTCGCGGCCGTCGCGTTCTCCGCGGGGCCCCAGAAGGTAGAGGGGGCCTTGATGCCGCGCGGCCGCAGGGCCCTTCAGGGATCCACGCCGCCAGTGCCCGGTGCTGCGAGCGCGCCCAGTTGGGCCATCACCCTCAGCGCCTCCGAGGCGGGGCGGTCGCCCAAGACTCGCGAGTTCGACGGCGCTCTGAGGCTGGACCTCGACCGCCACGCCCCGCTCGGCCTGGCCCTCCAGGCGGTGGGAAGGGGACGGGGCCCCAGCGCCCTCCTTCGACCTGGCGCTGAAGGATTTGGTCTCGGGGCTAAGGGGGCGGTGAAGGCCTTGGAGCTCGAGAAGTTCCTGGGCGACGCCAACCTGTGCCAGCTCAGACGCGGAGGCGCATCGCGCGACTACGCCTCGGGCTTGAGGTCTCTGGAGGACGCGCGCCCCCGCGGGCGCTGGCGCTCGTGGGCTTCGGTCTGGCGGCGCGAGAAGGGCAGCGGGGTCGGCCGGGCGCCCCCCAGGTTGCCCGACGACCTTCGCGCCCGCGCGCTGTTCTGCGAGCGCTCGCTGGACGCCGTCGTCCGCGGCCGGCCGTGTCAGGCGGCCCCCGACCCCAGACCGGGTTCTTCCTTGAGATCTTCTCGGGGTCCGGGCGGCTCGGCCAGGCGGTCTCGCGCGAAGGTGTGAACGTGCTACTCTGGGACCTGGAGCTCGGGCTTGACTGCGAACTTCGGCTGCCCCGGAACCGCAGCCTCGTCCGAGGCTGGATCCGCTCTGGCATCGTGATCAGGGTCCCTGGGCACCCCGTGCTCGTCTTTTTCCAGGGCTCGAGATGTTCGCCCAGGGCCTCCGCCCATGAGATCCAACACTTCTCCCATGGGCCTGGAAGGCCTCAGACCTGCTGATGCCGAAGAATCTCGCGCGGGCAACCTGCTGATATTTTTCTCGATCGCCATCGCCCGTGACGCCATGCTCCTCGGAATCCCAGCGTCGCTCGATAATCCAGCCCAGATGGCTGTGCCCAGCGATGCAGTGATTGCAGAAGTCCAGAAAAATCACGTTGACCGCTGAAGATTTTTGCACGCGGGGCGCCCCATGGCGTAAGTCGACAGCTTTCCTCAGCACTGGCCCGTGCCTCGCCAAGCTTGCGGACGCCCGCTGTCTCGGTGGGGGGCGAGGGCTTTGGAAGCGGCCGGGCCCCCCCCGCATCGCCATCCAGGGTGAGGACGAAAGGGGGTCTTCATGTCCAAGATTGCCGAGCCCTACCCCGCTCGCCTTTGCACCGCTCTCGCGATGTCTCACTACAATGCGCGGGCCTCGTCCAATGCCGAGTCCTTTGATAATGCATTGTCTGCGGCCTTGAGAAGGCCAGAGTGCTGATCGGGTGGTCTCGTTGGTCCGTCAGAGCTGGGAGTCGCTCGAACTCGGCCCGCTCTGGCTCGCTGGCCTCGTGGATCTCGTTCGCAGAGGTGCTCGACTTGCGGCCCGCCGCCTGGCTTGAGAAAGGAGCTCGGGGGGATGATTTGTACTTGCACGGAAATCCTTGAGAGCAGATTGGGGGCAGCCGCATTCACCGTGCAAGCTATTGTGTCCGTCCTATCTTGGCTCTAGTTGCGCCCCCATCTACCTCGGCCGCCGCCCTGATGTTAACGTTTGTTTCAGTATTGCTAGTTGCTTTTGAGGGGGGTCGCTCGAGCTCGGCCCGCTCCGGCTCGCTGGCCTCGTGGATCTCGCTCGCAAAGGTGCTCGACGTGTGGCCCGCCGTCTGCCTTCAGGAAGGTGCTTGGGATGATGGTGGGGAGGGTGATGATGATGCTGCTGCTGCTGCTGATGGCGATGATGCATGATGCTGATGCATGCAACTCGTGTTGATGGTGGTGATGATGATGGGTGCATGCTGCTGATGCTCGTTCTCATGCTGGCGATGATGATGACGGTGCTGGTGGTGATTATGATGACGATGCTGGTGATAATATTGGTGATGATGCGAATGCTGATGATGATAGTGACGGTGATGATGATATTGATGGTGGTGGTGGTGACGATGATGGTGGTGGTGTTGCAACTGATGATAAATGATGATGATGCATCCTGCTGACGAATGATGCCGATGATGATGGTGGTGAAAGTGAATTCTGCTGATGCCTGCTGCTAGTGATGATGAGTTTGATGATGATGATGATGATGGTGATAGTGGTGGTGATGATGATAGTAGGTAATGATGCTGATGCTGTTGCTGATGATGACGCATGATTGTGGTGAGTGCTGCTGATGTTGGTGATGATGATGCTGTGTGTTGCTGATGTATGCTGCTGGTGCTCATGCTGATGATGATGATGATGCGGATGTTGATGATGATGACGATGACAGTGGTGGTAATGATGGTGATGTGACGATGATGATGACGCCGATGAATGTGATTGTGATGATGATGGGGAGGATGTTGCTGATGCTGATAAAGTTGATGATGGTGATTGTGATGGTGGTGATGACTACGCTGATGAGGTTGATACTGATGTTGATGCTGATGATGTTGGTGATGATGACGACACGGGTCGTGATGATGATAATGATGATGGTGATAGCGCTGGTGTTGATGCGGATGACGAAGTTGATGGTGAATGTGATGGTAATGACCACGGTGCTGATGATGATCGTGATGCTGATGACGGTGATGGTGATGGTGGAAGTGGTGATGGTGTTTATATAATGATGATAGTGATGTTGACCATGATGCTGAGGACGGCGATGGTGATGATATTGGTGCTGGTGATTTTGATGTCGATGATGGTGATGATGGTGATTGTGACGGCGATGCTGCTGATGGTGAGGATGTTGGTGATGTGAAAGTCAGCATGATGATGGTGAGGATGATGCTCATGATGACGACGACGATGTTAGTGATGACGATACGAATGATGATGAGAATGGTGATGATGATGGTGACGATGATGATGCTGCTAGTAATGATTATGCCACCGACGATGATGATGATGATTATGATGCGGCGAATGGTGATGATGGAGATGGTGATGGTGATAATGCATGAGGATGATGATAGCGATAATGATGCTGGTGTTGCTGATGATGATGTTGGTGACGATGATATTGGTGATGACGATGCTGGTGATGCTGGCGGCGATGTTGATGATGATGATGATGACGGTACTTTTCATGGTGATGTTTATTTTTATTATGATGATGTTGGTGATGATGGTGATGGTGATGATGTTGGTGGTGAAGGTGATGGTGACAATCATGGTGACGAGGATAATGCTGATGGTGATCATGACGATAGTGATCATAACAATGATGGTGGTGATTGTGACGATTATGATGATTCGTATGTTGTTGATCATGTTGATGCTGATGGCTGTGGTGATGATGATGATGATGATGATGATGATGATGAGGTTGCTGTTGATGCTGATGATGATCATGACGTTGAGGATGATGATGATGATGATGATGATGGTAGAGGTCGTGATGCTGATGATTATGATTATGATGCTGATTGCGATGGTCATGATGACGACGATGATCACCCGCAATATGGTGATGATGGTGACGATGGTAATGCTGGTGATGACGATGATTGTGACGATGGTGATGGGCATGGTCATGACCATGAAGATGATGATGATGACGATGACGAAGATGAGGATGATGATGATGATGGTGGTGACGATTATGATGGGGATGATGATGTTGATGCTGCTGATGGTTATGCTGGTGATGGTGATGATGATGCTAATGATGATGATTATGATGCTGATGATGGTGATGATGGAGATGATGCTGATGATGATGGCAATGATGTTGATGGTAGTGATGCTGATGATGATGCGGATCTTGATGGTGCCGACGGTGATGATAATGATGATGATGGAGGATGCTGGTGATGATGACGAGGATGATGATGGTGGTGATGGTGATACTGTCGCTGATGGTGTTGATGGCGATGACGATGGCGATGCTGATGCTGATGCTTGTGACGATGATGTTGGTGATGATGATGGTGATGTTGATGATGATGATGGTGATGGCGCGGATGCGGATGTTGCTGCTGGTGCTGATGAATAGGAGGAGGCGGAAGATGCTGATGACGACGATGATGACGATGTTGCTAATGATTGGGATGACGATGGTGACGATGATGATGCAGCTGATGATGATGATGATGATGGTGATGACGACGATGATGATGATGATTATGATGATTGTGGTGATGATGGTGATCGTGATGAAGATTCTGGTGATGGTGATGACGATGGCCATGATGAGGGTGATGACGGATGGCCAAGATGACGATACTGATGGTGATGATGATGTTGATGATGTTGATGATGGCGATGATTATGATGTTGACGAGGATGTTTACGATGTTGATGATGATGGTGATGATGGTGGAGATGGTGATGGTGATGACGATGGCCATGATGATGATAATGATGATGACTATGTTAATGATGATGAGATTGATGGTAATGGTGATGATGGTGTGGTGACGATGGTGATGATGGTGACGATGTTGATGGTGATGACGATTGTGATGATGGTGACGATGCTGATGATGATGACGATGCTGATGACGATGCTGATGGCGATGGCGATGATGATGATGATGACGATGCTGATGGTGATGATGGTGATGATGGTGATGATGGTGATGGTGATGATGGTGATGGTCATGTAGATGATGATGATGATGATGATGATGATGATGATGATGATGATGATGATGATGATGCTGATGCTGATGATGATTATGATCACGGTGACAGTCACGATGGCCATGATGATTGGGATGATGATGGTGATGATGATGATTATGATGAGTATGACGATGATGGCGATTCTAGTTATGATGGTGATGATCATGCCCATGCTAATGCTGATGGCGATGCTGTTGCTGATGATGATGGTGATGGTGAGGGTGACGACGATGATGATGATGCTGCTGCTGTCGATGATGACGATGCTGATTGTGATAATGATGGTCATGGTGCGGGTGATGATGATGATGATGATGGTGACGACGATGATGATGATGATGATGGTGATGTTGGTGATTATGACGATGGTGATGATGATGATGATGGTGATGATGATCATGATGCTGATGTTGGTGATGGTGATGGTGATTACAGTTATGATGATGATGATGCCGATGCTAATGCGGACGGCGATCATGTTGCTGATGATGATGATGATGATGACGATGATGGCGATGGTGATGTTGATGGTGATGATGACAACGATGCTAATGATGATGATGATGCTGATGCTGACGATGATGACGATGATTGTGTTGATTATTATGATGAGGGCGATGGTGAGGGTGATGATGCTGATAATGATGATGATGATGATGCTGATGATGGTGACGACGATGATGATGATGACTCTGATGATGATGGTGACGACGATGATGTTGATAATAATAATAATAATGATGATGATGATGATGAAGATGATGATGATTATGATGATGATGATGATGATGGTGGTCATGATGGTGGTCATGATGATGATGATGATGCTGATGCTGATGCTGATGCTGAAGATGATGGTGGTGGTTGTGATGATGATGATGATAATGATGATGCTGATGATGCTAATGATGATGCTAATGCTGATGCTAATGATGATGATGATGATGATGATGATGATGCTGGTGATTAGCAGGAGGATGGTGATGGTCATGGTGACGGTGACGGTGGTGATGATGATGGCGATGATGGTGAATTTGACTGTGATGGTGATGGTGATGATGATGAGGATAATGATTATACTAGTTTGCGGTGCTGTGTTGCCGTGCGTCTCGCCGCAGCCTGACAGAAAAGGCGATCGGCCCGGACAGGGGTCTGCGAATTTGGCTCAGACTCGCTTGCAAAGCTCTCTCGAGCCGACGCTTAAGCCGAAATGGCTACGGCGCATCGAAGAACAAAAAAGAGACTGAGCATAAACTCTCGGGTCGGTGCTGGGCGCTCGGCCACCGTGGCGGCGCTTCGGGGGGGGGTCCAGCGCCGATCCAGGAAATCCGCGCCGCGCTGTGTCCTAGTCGCAGCTCAAGGGCTCGCATGTGACGCCGAACCCCGGGCGTGCCGTCGGCGATTTTTTCGGCGTCAAGGGTCGGGTGGCGCTGGTTACGGGCGGCTCCAGCGGCGTCGGGCTCATGATCGCGAAGGGCCTGATGGCGAATGGCACGAGGATATACATCTCCGCCAGGAAGGCCGCGGCGTGCGATCGGGTTGCCAAGCAGCTGAACGGCATGGGGCCTGGCACATGCGTTTCTCTTCCCAGCGACGAGCTTGATATCCGTCAGGCTTGCCGTGCCTTGGCGGTCAGACTGGCGGAGCGCTAGGGCGAGTTGCACGTCTTGGTGAACAATGCTGGCGCGATATGGGCAGCAGTTTTGAGGAGCTTCCCAACTCGACGTGGGCAAAAACGTGATGTCGCTGAACATGGCGAGCGTCTTCAACCTGACTCGGGCATGCTTTCCACTGCTGCAGAAGGGCAGCCGTGGTAATTCGCCTGGACCCATCTCACGTCATCACGGTCGGCTCGGCGGTGGGCTACCCAACGGCCGATGTCTTCGACAATGTTCCGTCCTATGCGGCGAGCAAGGCCGCCGCAGCGCAGGTGACCAGATGGTTCGCGTCGAAGTTCTGCAGGGACGGCGTTGTGGCAAACTGCATGCAGCCTGCCGTTTTCCCGTCTAGATAGCTTTTGATCATTTCCTCAAGAACGAGAGAACGGCGGAGATGACGAAGAACATCCACCCCGTCGGGCCGTTACGGCGGCTATGCAGACATGGTGGAGCTTGCCATCTTCCTTTTTAGCACGGCGTCCTCCTCCGTAACAGGCGAGACCATTTGACTCGACAGCGGCAGATGCCATATAACTGGGGCGGCGGCGCTCCCGCCTGCAAGTCTGTGGTGGCGGCGTGCTTCTCTCTCTCATTCTTGCACCGTCCTCCCCACTCCATCGCACTCCTCGGCACTCTGCCCCGCATCGGCAATAATGTAGTTCTCGCTTTGTGTGGACATGCCATTTTGTTTGCCATTGCGTTGTTCTTACGATTTGCTGATTCACATGTGGTCGGTGGCTCAGGCTTCTCATATTGTACGTTGCGCGCGACATCGCCTCGCCTCACATGCAAGGTTGGTACTCACGCAAATGGAGCGTCAGGACTGTGTGCACTCATTTGCCAAGGGTTCAGACGCAGTTTTGTGGGGACCTTCCGTTTGCGAGCTTGCTGCGCATGGTTTGTTTGAGTTGGCAAAGAGTGCATTTGGTGCAGATATGTCACATGTTTGCGTGTGCACAGTATTATGTTCTGACTTAAGAGTTTCGTCAGTTGCCGACTAACCTCTGCCCACAGCAGGCGGATAAGAGACGTGTGCGCGCATGTTGCATGCAAGTGTGCGTGTGGGGTTATGTGTGCGAGCGTGTGTGTATGTGTGTGTGTGTGTGTGTGTCTGTGTATGTTTGTTCGTAAGCGCGCGTTCTTGTGCGTGTGGGTGCGCGCTCGTGTGTGTGTGTGTGTGCGTAGGTGCGTGCGTGCGCGCGCGCGCGTGTGTGTGTGTGTGCGTATGTGCGTGCGTGCGCGCGCGTGTGTGTGTGTGTGTGTGTGTGTGTGTATGTGTGCGCTCTCGCGTGTGAAATTGTTGCGCTCGCATGGTTTGCGGTCGCTGCCTTGCGCGCGCTGCTCGTGGATACACCAGGAGCAGCACTGGCGCTGCCGCCTGAAAGTGCCCACCGCGCTCTACGGGAGCGGTGCCCCGATGGTCTTCGGGTGGGCCGAATGAGGAACTATCCCGAACATTGGATACCAACAACGGCGTATCACCGACCGCTCACGGGTAGTGTTCGCAGAGTTTCGCGCAGCATTGGATGTTAGCCAGCGTGGATCCCAAACAGTGTGTTCCTAGCAGTCTATGGTGTGCAATCCATGTGGAGCCATATTTGCGGTGCAGTCTACGTGGTGCAATCTATGTTGTGCAGTATTTGTTGAGAAATATGTGTTCCGCAATCAGTTGCGTGCAACAAACATATTTGCATATTTGTATGATTGTGTGTGTATGTGTGTATGGTTGTGTGTCTGTTTGTTTGTATGTCTGAATGTATATATTAATGGATGTATGTATGCATGTAATGTATGTGTGTATGTAATGTATGTGTGTATGCATGTAGGTATTATATATGTGTGTACACGTTTGTATGTATGTGTGTCTGTAAGTATGTATGTATGTGTGTATGTATGCATGTATGTATGCATGCATACATGTATGTATGTATGGGTGTGCGCGTATGCATACCTACATATATGTGTATACATATATGTATGTACACATGTATGCATTGTTCGACGTATGTAGGTATTCATGCATGCACGCATGCATGTATGTATATATGCGTGTATAAATGTGAGAGTGTATATAGATGTCGGTATGTATGTATATATATATGAATATGTACATGTATATGTACATGTGTACGTATATATGTATGTGCATGTACACGTATAGGCAGGTGTCAATGCATGTGCATGTGCATGTGCATATGTATATGTATATGTATATGTGTATGTATATGTTTCTGTGCGTGCATTTGCAACATATGTGGTGCAATCGATGTGGTGCGATCTATGTTTTGCAGTTTTTGTGGTTCAATCCATGAAGTGCAATCGACGCGTTGCAATCTCTGTGGTGCAATCTATGTGGTGCTACGCTGTACAATTTATGCAGTGCAATCTATGCGAGGCGGCGACGGGGCGGCGACGGCGACGACGGGGCGGCGACGGCGAGCACGGAGCTGCCAGACCGACAACCCCGCCCAGACGACCACGGAGCCGCCAGACCGACGACCCCGCCCAGACGGGCGGCGACGGGGCGGCGACCGTGAGCATGGAGCCGCCAGACCGATCTCCACCCCAGTTCCTCATAACACAAGCAAGAACTCCTAATTGCAAGCACTGTTTGGGGAAGTGTGACGCGTCGCGTCTTCCAGCCAGCCCTGCCTGTTGGGGGCCTCTTGAAAGTTTCTGGGGTGCGTCTGGAGGGCCTTTTGGGAGTCTGGGGGCCGTCTTCGGAGCTCTCTTGAGGGTGAGTGGCTTGCGTTTGGAGATGCCACCGCACGGTTTCAGCCCCGGTCGGTCTTGCATGATGCCGAAGCTTGTGTTGGGTGTGTCGCATCTCGTCCCAGCGCAATCTGCCCAGAGGGTCTTAAACATCAACATCGATTTGTCCATGTTCACCCTGGAGGTAGTTATGATCCACCCTTGAAGCTAGCCTCAACGTTATAGTTCCCCACCCCTCTTACTTTCATCGTGCTTTGCACAAGTTTTTGGAGTAGATTTGCGTCTTGTCTTCCCCTGGCAGTGCTGGCAGTCCAATGCTGCATCCTGCGCGCTCATTGTCGCGCGGCTTCGCTTTGACGGATTTCGTTTACGCGTACGGTTCCAACGATCATAGATCAAAGAGAATGAGTTGGATAAGGAGGGTTGGGGACGAGCAGCAGGAGGAGCAGACGGCATGCGGCTATTTCAACCCCGCGGCCCTGAATCGCGGGCCCCAGGTCTGGACTTCGCCGGTCAGCGACGCGCGCGGCCCAGCCGCTCGTTCATCTTGCCCCACCGACGGGGGGCGCGCTTCCTGGCGCAGCTTGACAGAGGTGGCAGGAGAAGGAGGAGGAGGAGGAGGAGGAGGAGGGACGGAGGAGGAACCGAAAGGACGTGGAGGAAGAGGAGGAGGGTAGGCGGAGGAGGAAGGAGGAGGAGGAGGTGAAAGAGGCGTTGAAGGAGAAGGCAGAGGGCTTTGCGTCGCCCCTGGTTGTAGTCCTTGCACGTGATCTGTTCGATTTTGCTATTCTCAAGGTGGGTATATCCAGCTACCTGCAGCTCGTCCAGCCCAGCATTCTTAGTGGCGACTTTTCGAGGGTGGGAGAGTCGTGATGAGGATGCGGGTAAGGATCATGATGTTGATGATGATGATGCTGTTGTTGTTGATGAAGATGGTATTGATGATGGTGGGAACGATGATAACTATAGAAATAGAAATAATATTCATAGTGCAATTTACGCCAATATTAGTCAATAGTATCATCATCATCCTGATGCTGATGATGATGATGATGATGATGATGATGATGGTTGTGGTGGTGGCGGTAGTGGTGGTGATGATGATGTTGGTCATGATTGTGGTGGTGTTGCTGCTGCTGATGATGGTGGTGGTGGTGGCTGTGGTGGTGATGATGGTGGTGTTGATGCTGATGATGGTGATGATGATGCTGATGATGATGGTGGTGATGATAATGGTGATGCTGATGCTGATGCTGAAATGATGGTAATGGTAATGATGGTGGTGGTGATGATGGTGATGGTGATGGTGGTGGTGGTGATGATAATGATGATGGTGATGATGAGGATGAAAACGATGATGATGATGATGATGACGATGATGGTGATGCTGCTGATAATGATGATGCCGATGCTGCTGATGAAGATGCTGATTATTATGATGCTGATGGTGATGCTGATGTTGCTGATGATGGTGGGGGTGACGATGATGGTGGTGGGGGTGATGATGGTGGGGCTGATGTTGACGGTCATGATGATCATGAAATGATGGTGATGATGATAATGATGATGATGACGGTGATGATGATGATGATGATGATGATGATGATGATGATGATGATGATGATGATGACGGTGGTGATGATGAGGAGGAGGAGGATGAGGATGAGGATAAGGATGATGGTGGTGGTGGTGGTGCTTGTGGTGGTGGGGGGGTGGGGGATGCTGTTGTTGATCATGACGACGATGACGAAGACGATGACGACGACGACGACAACGACCACCACCACCACAACGACCACGACCACGATCACGACGACGACGACGACGACGATGAGGGGCATGAGGATGAGGGGGATGATGATGAGGATGAGGATGAGGATGAGGATGATGGTGGTTGTGATACTGCTGATGATGGTGGTGGTAATGATGACGACGAGGAGGAGGAGGAGGAGGAGGGGGAGGAGTAGCAGGAGGAGGAGGAGGAGGAGGAGGAGGAGGAAGAGGAACACCGTCACATGCGACACCTTTCGGCTTCAATATCTGAGGAGCTCTCGTGGAACTCGTTTGGGCCGTCTTGGGGCTGTCTTGGCCTCCTATAAGGCAGTCTTGGGTGTCCTTCTGGGCCCTCTTGGGCTATCTTGGGGCGCTCTTACGCCGTCTTGGGGCTCTCGTGGGCTGTCTTGGGGCCCTTTTGTCCGTCTGGTGGGTGTCTGGGGGCCGTCGAAAGTCTTTCTAAGGCCGTTGTGGGTCCCACGGGATACCGTCTTGGATGCCGCTGGGACCATCCTGGGACCTCTTGGGCTATCTTTGGAACCTCTTGGGGGCCTCTTGGGCCGTCTTGGGGCCATCGTGGAGGCTGCTTGGGCCGTCTTGAGCTGATGGAATCCCGAAAGGCGAGAATGCGAACATCATTCAGAAACCCGAGGGGATCACTGATTTCGGTTTCTTCGGGCCCTGCTGGAGGTCCTTTGGTGGTCCACTTGAAATATTGGGCCGTCGTGAGGCCATATTGGGCTGCCTCGGGGCCATCTTGGGCCATCTTCGAGGCATCTTGGGCCATCTTGGTGCACTTGGTTGCCTGCATGGGCCGTCTTAGAAGCTCGGAAGGATCCATGGTTTGTTTTAACGGGGTCGTGGCCTCGGGAGCGCGGACCCATCGTTTTTTTTACGGGGATCGTGGCCTCGGGAGGGGAGCGGATCGCCCCCGCGACTCGTGCCTGAACCCCCCAAACCCCCAGCCGGATTTCTGTTATTTCGTCTGCGGGTGGTCAACCTTCGCGGCGACCCGTCAAGCCCAGGACCTTTGGCGGCGAATGGATTTGCTTCCTTATTCCGCGCACGTGTTGCCATTGAAACCCCTGAACTTTTCCGACTACCGTACAACTAGTACTTGAGTACAAGTGGTACTATCATGTATTAGCGCGCAGATGCTCTTAGAGAGCACATTGTCCTGCCGTAGACGTATTCAAGTACAATTGGAGTCATATTGCAATTCATAGAACTGTGCACCCCTAGTACAACTCCCTAGTACAACTCCCTAGTAGTTGTAGAACTCCCTGGTACAATTTCCCCTAGTACAAGTAGTACTAGGAAATCTCTCTGACACAACTCCCTACAATTCCCGAGTGCTAGTACAACTCACTAGTACAAGTCCCTAGTACAGCTCACCGGTACAACTCCTGAGTCATAGTACAATTTCTATCACAATTCCGTAGTACAACTTCTTAGTAGCAGTATAACTCTTTGGTGCAACTCACCAGCACAATTATTTGGTGCAACTCCCTTAGTGCGACTCCCTGTGCAAATCCCTAGTACTAGTCCAACTCCCTAGGACAACTCCCAGTATGACTCCCTGGTACAACTCCCTAGTGCTAGTACAACTCCCTAGTACAACCACTATTAGAGTGTTGCTGCATTGCACTTCCAGTCTGGGCTCTCACGCTTTTCCTCCTCTGGCTGCGCTGGGGGGGCGTGACCCCTCGAGCGGGCACCCCCGCGGCTCAGAGTTCATTCTTCTTCCGGAATTTCAGGGGGGGTTAACCCCCATGCTCGAGCCCCTCGGCAGGGATTTGTTTTTCCTCCGCGGAAGCTGGACCCCCTGGGTTCCTGGGCGCCCCCAGAAGTTCTTTCCTTCCGGATCGGCCCCCAGGGGTCCTACGTTGAAGTCGCCCAGGTGATGGGGAGATGCGGGCCGAGAGGAGGGTGAGCCCTGAGTAGAATGCAAAAACCTTGCCAGGCAGTACTTGGCATTCTGCCACGCCTCCACGCGCCAGGGGGGGTACACGGTGGCGGAGCCTGTGGCCACGGCCGGACGCGGCTCAAGAGGAGACCCATGCCGAGAAGCACCTTGTTTGCTTCCAGGGTGCTTTGGGTTTCTTGGGTTTCGAGGGTTTTGTTATAGGAAGCGTGACGTTCCCACACCAAAAAATCAGTGGACGCCATGGGGTCTCAAGGTTGGGTTTCTCTTGGAAGGTTTCTTGTGGTCGGGCCCCCAGCGTAGGAAGACGTGTGAGGAGGGGGAAGCAGTCAGGTGCGCGTTGATATGTTACCCGCCACGAAGACAAGTGTCAACTCATTGTTGTTGACGCGCGAGTTGGCAAGTGGTGTTTTTTTCCCAACCATCCTGTGGTGTTGGGTCCTCGTTTTGAAGAGACGGTGCCCCGCGTCCTCCTCTCCTCTCCTCCTCGTCCCCCCTCCTCCCTTCTCCCGTCATCATCATCATCGTCATCATCATCACCATCATCGTCGTCATCGTCATCGTCATCTTCGTCGTCGTCATCATCGTCATCATCCTCCCCCTCCTCCCTCCTCCCCCATCCTGGTTTTTGCTCTCCGCATGTCTCTGTTTCGGCACACCCCTCACACGTTTCGTGGCCCCATAGGGAGCTCCACCTAAGGTCCCAGTAGCGGAACTCGCATGGCGCCGCCGCCCCATTTTGGCACACCCCTCACACGTTTCGTGGCCCCATAGGGAGCTCCACCTAAGGTCCCAGTGGCGGAACTCGCATGGCGCCGCCGCCCCATTTTGGCACACCCCTCACACGTTTCGTGGCCCCATAGGGAGCTCCACCTAAGGTCCCAGTTGCGAAACTCGCATGGCGCCGCCGCCCCATTTTGGCACACCCCTCACACGTTTCGTGGCCCCATAGGGAGCTCCACCCCAGGTCCCGTGGCGGAACTCGCATGGCGCCGCCGCCCCATTTTGGCACACCCCTCACACGTTTCGTGGCCCCATAGGGAGCTCCACCTAAGGTCCCAGTGGCGGAACTCGCATGGCGCCGCCGCCCCATTTTGGCACACCCCTCACACGTTTCGTGGCCCCATAGGGAGCTCCACCTAAGGTCCCAGTGGCGGAACTCGCATGGCGCCGCCGCCCCATTTTGGCACACCCCTCACACGTTTCGTGGCCCCATAGGGAGCTCCACCTAAGGTCCCAGTGGCGGAACTCGCATGGCGCCGCCGCCCCATTTTGGCACACCCCTCACACGCTTCGTGGCCCCATGTGGAGCTCCACCTAGGGTCCCAGTGGCGGAACTCGCACGACGACCTCGAGCGCCACGACGACAGCCTCACGGGGGACCTCACGGGCAAGCTGGTGTTCATCGAGCCTCGCACGTCGGAGCCGTTCACCTTTCGCACCTCCAAGGTCACCCGAACGGGCTTCCCCTTCTCGCACGGCAGGGTCATCACCACGGTGGCGTGCCACGGGCGCACCATGCGCGAAGGCGACGGGGCGAGGGAACAGCGCTCTGGGGCAGTTTACGGCCAGACCTGCTGGGCGCGAACAGTCCGCAGCCAGACCTCCTCTCGGTCTGTGGACTCTCGCCCTGGGCCGTCGGCTGCCCGGCGCGCTGCTCCCTCGGCCGACGTCGCCCAGGCGTGATCCTGGACTGCGGCCGCCACGAGGTGGGGAGCGGCAAGAAGGAGGACGACGACAGGTGGCTGGAGCTCTACGTCCTGCTCTCGCGCGCCGCGCGCCACGATGACCTCCTGCTCATGCGGGCGCCGCGCATCGAGTTCTTCCTGGCAGGGCCGCCGGAGGGCTTGCGGAAGCAGCTGGAGCAGTCTGCGGCGAGCACGAAGCGGTGCAGAAGGGAGGCGACGGCCCTCGCCAGGGAGATGGGCTTCACCGAGTTTATCCGCGAGGCTTGACCTGAGGAGCGGCCCGCCCGAGACTCGCCGTCTCTCGACGGTCTGACTGTTTGGCCTCGCGCCGCGGGCGATCCGCGCGCGTCGCTGGGGCCCTCTCGGGGCGACCAGCGCGCGTCGCGGGAATTCCGCGCTGCGCTCTGCCCAGAGCCTCGCTCGCCCCCGTCGTCGCTCTGCCCAGCGGCCGCAGTCTTGCCCGCTATCACCCAGCCAGCTAGCACTCTCTCTGCTCCGCGCAGCGGACGACCCGCGCGCGTCGCCGGGACCCCTTCGGGGCGACCAGCGTGCGTCGCGGGGACTCAGTGCGGCGCCGCGCCCGCGGCCATGGACATCGGAGTGCGCGGGCAAAGAGGCAGAAAAAGAAGGGGAAGGAAACGGGCGCGATCCTCGTGAGGGGCGTGCCGACGTGGGCGTCGACATTGATGCACGTAGACTGATTCGCACGCAGACACATTCACAATCATACTTACTCGCGCTCAGGCTCACGCGGTCTCAGTCTCGCGCACTCATAGCGATCGTCTTTGTTCGTATTGGGGACCCCGCCATGAATTTCGGCACGCCCCCTCGCACGGTTCGTGGCCCCATAGGCCGCGCGAGCGAAGATGATATCCACAATCGCGGTATTCGCAACTGCATATGGTTGGGTCCTTCGCCAGGCTAATTTTCAGAGGGGCTGATCCTTTTGCCGACCTCCCAACATGAACCTTTGGTGGACACGTTGATGTAATCTAGGAGCGTTGTTGGGGCCTTGCTAGGGCATTTTGACGCCTTGAAGGGGCATCGTGAGGCCTCTGGAAGTCATCTTAGAGCCTTAGTGTGCCATATCGGGACATGGTGGGGACATCTGTTAGCCGTGAGCGATCTTCGGCGGTCGCAGAGGCCACATTCTGCCGTGTTCTGCAATATTGGCGAACTCTTGAGGCTTTCTGAGACCCGCTCGATGCCATCACGGGCCATGTTGGGCTCTCCCTCTTCGCGGCCTCGGGGTTGCATCTTGGGGTCCGCTGGAGCACTCTTGGTCGTCTAGTGGCGTCACTGTGGGCATACTGAAGCAACCTAGCGGCTAGGGGGCTGAGGGATCCCCCCAATGGGTGGTTTCTTTTGACGCTGTGGCAACCCTCTTCCGTAAGCGAATGCGAGGCACAACTTGAGAGGCAAGGGGCGGGAACGAAATGACAGGCCAAGAGACATCAGACATTGTACACCAACCAGGCAGTAGTTCAGCAAGTCTCACAGCCCAGCGCTTCCACGGAGGCTTGGACGGCACAGGCACAAGTGTCCCTGGTACATGACTTCTCCAGCTCCGGGCCATTTTGGAGCCTACAGGGCCTCTCTGGGCCTCGCCAGGGACAGCTTGACGGCCACAGGGCTTCCACAGGACCTTGGCCCACTCTTCCCTCTTCTTTGTGTTTCTTATTAGGCTCTGCATCGTCGGGCTTCACCCATTGATCCCCACCCTCGGCCCCTCTTGGGGCACTCATTCGGGTGCTCCTGGTAGTGTTGGGACCTCTCCTCGAACTCTGCTGAGCTTCGCTTGAGTCATCTTGGGCGATAATGGAATCATCTTGAGGCCCCATAGCCAACCAGAAGGGATGAATCGAGAAAAGGAAAGCATGTAACAATGATGTGTGCTTGAACGATTTTGGCCTCTTGCGGAGCTCTTTGTGGCACCCAGGGCCACCTCGAGGCTATAATTGGCATAATTGCTGCTTGTTAGTCTTCATCGTCAGGCCAACGACCCATCAATCCCCGCTCTTGGGGCTCTCTTGGTCGCCTCTTGGGGCGCCCTTTAAGGATGTTGTGCACTCACTTGGAGCTCTTTGTGCTACAGTTGGAGCTGTCTGGGGCGATCTTGGAGCCACCCGGACGCCTCGGAATCCCATCGGAAGCGAAAGTGCTAGAAAGCCAACGTCCTTGAGAAACGTGTGTGTGTGTGTTTTTACACATGTCAACCCCTTGGGGGCCTCTTGAAGGCTGCCTTGGACCATCCTGGGCCGCGTTGACGCTGTCTTCGACCACAAAACCAACGACACCACCCCACCTACGGCCCTCCATGTTGCGCTACGGCCCATGGGGGGCCGTAGCGTATACCAGGCATAATCGCACGCCGGATTTGTTGACACACGCTAACCCGTGGGGCCGTAGGTGTGGTGGTGTCGTGTGTTTTCTGGTCCATCTCTTGGGGGTTTCCTGGACTTTTTTCGGGACCAGTTTGTGGCCTGCCACCGATCAGTCCTCACTCGTGGGTCTCTCCCGGGGACCTCGAGGGGCGCGCACAGGCCTCCCTCGGGGCGCTCCTGGTGCTGCCTCGGGGGTTCCGAGGGCCGCGCTCAGGAGTAGCTCATCTCGAAAACCTGCCCAGTGCATTGCCGGGGTACAGTCGGACCGAGGTAGACAAGTTCGAGGTCGGTTCGGGGTACCCTGATGTTCTTCGTGTCTGTTGGATGCTCTTGTCCATCGTGGGGAGGGTACCCTCGGATGTTCTGTGTGTTTTGGCCAGCGGAGGGTCTCGTGTTCTTGAAGGATTTTCTTCTGTCCTAGGTCCGATTGTATTATTACTCCAGGGACCCCCCAGGACTGCCACGCGCGGCGCGCAAACCAGAAATATGGAAGTATGTTGAACGTCTTACAGGAGCTGCCAGCACGCCGTTGGCCCGTTGGGCCACTGAGTCTTGAGTTCTGCGCGTTGTTGTGCGCTGTTCTTCTAAGGAGCCAGGCCCCTCGCCAGAGTGGTCTGGCGCGCGGCAGAACTTCGCTGTGGAGTGGAAGGGCCAGGACAACGCAGGCGCTGCAGGCGGCTGCCTTGCTTTGCGCGAGTGCTTCAGACAGTAGTACTGCTACGTACTGATGAGATCGCGACATGGGAGTTGCACCAGTCCGCATTTCCTTGCAAACCTCGTTGACTAATAAACTAAACTAGATCTACGCAAAGAAAGGTGGCTCCAAACTTAACCCACAACACAACTCTGCGGTCTTATTGATTTATCGTCGCGCCCGTAGAATCATCAGGAATACACAAAGTAGCGTCAGAGTATCATTGGCGATCGCAGAAGTATTCGCCGTCGCACTTGCAATCGAAGACGTGAGCAGTGAGGTGAAGGTGCTAGCTGTAGTAGTACAGTCGGACCGCATGGCAAGAAATACAGTATGCTTCGTCAGGATGCCCTGGGTTCCTTCGGCTTGAGTTCGGCGTGGACGGTTGTAGCAATCTCGAAGAAACTGCAAATTACAGGACACCTTGGGTTTCTTGGGCGTCGGTGCGTTTCGGAGCGCGCGCCCGAGACTCCAAAAAACTTCTGGGCATTCGTGGTGCCTTGGGTTATTTCGCCCGCCACTCGGGTTGTTCGTCCCGCATTGCCCATCCATTCGCGCGCGCTCGCCCGTCTGGCATGGGGGCGCTGGCGCATTTCGGGGCGCATGCCCGGACGCTAAAGAAATTGACCAGCATTCACGATACCTTGGATTACTTCGCCCACCACTCCGTCTGTTCCTCCCGCGCAGCGCATGCGCTCGCGGGGGCTCGTCAGTCTGGCATGGGGTCCCGGGCGAATTCAGGGCGCGCGCCCGAGAGCTCAAGAAATTGACAGGCATACAGGGTACCTTAGGTCTCTTCGCCCGCTGTTCCATGTGTTCCTCCCGCGCGAGCTCGCGGGGGCTTCTCAGTGTGACAGGGGCTCTGGCGCATTCGGGGCGCCCCCCCCCCGCGAGCCCGAGAATCTGACAGGCATTCAGGGTACGTTGGGGTTGTTTGCCCCCCACCCCCGCGGGCGGGGCGGTCGCGTGGCGCGGTTGCCGTCCCAGGCATGACGATACGTAAAACATCGTAAATTGATATACTTGACATGAGGGTGCTCTGATGGGGCAGAATCGCATGTAAATTGCAATGCGAAAAGGTGGACCGATAAAGCCGGGGGGGATCTTAATTTTTGTTTCAGGAGAGTGCAGGCGATGCAATACATGTGGAGCACGATGTGCAGTGCAATCTAGGTGGCGCAATTCGCCCTGCCAGACTTGAAGCTGCCAGCCCCAGTGTTCGCGCAATCGTCCCACCCACCCTCTTGGTTTGCGAAGCCCAATGCGGCGGCGGTTGCGATGAGTGCTTGGCGCTGGCTGGCGCGTCGCTGCGGCCGCGCTGGCGCGCGCAGGCTCGCGCACAGAGCGGCCAGCCAGCTAGCCTGGCGCGACTACCGCGGCCGCGGTGGCGCTGATCGCTGGGCTTTCCCCAGCGCGCCCACGCGCGGGTACTTCAGTGCGAATCAGTGTTTTGGGCGGGCGCGGTATCAGAAACTCGCAAACGTAAGTTACAGGATGAGGTCTTCTGGCCTGTCTGAGTGCGGAAGCCGAGCCACTGTAGCCCGCAGCAGAGCAGCTTTTCTGAAGCTCGCCGTTGTAAGCCCACACTGCCACTCACATTGCCCAGGCCAGAACGGCTAATGGGCAGGACGGAGAAGGGTATTCGAGAAAGGGAGGAGGATGAATTTGAGGAGGAGGAGGAGGAAGAACAAGAGGAGGAGCAGGAGGAGAAGGAGGAGGAGGAGGAGGGAGGAAGGATGAGCGATGAGTGAAGGTGAAGGAGAGATGATGTGCGAGGGGCGAGGGGGGACTGATGGGTGACAAGTGGAGCCCGCCAGCGTAGTCCATATCGAATTAGTTGTTTCACTTCTTCTCCTCGCTCTCAGTCTCCCCTCGTTCACTCGTCCCTTCTCTCTCCTCCCCCCGTCGCCCCGCCGTCCTCTTACCTTTTCTCTTCTCTCCGCTTCTCTCTTTCCCTCTCTCTCTCTATCGCTCTATCTCTTTCTCTCTCTCTCTTGTCTTCTCTCTTTATCTCTCGCTCTCTCTGTTCTTGTTTTGTGTGTGGTGTGTGTACGTGTGTGTGTGTGTGTGTCTCTCTCTCTCTCTCTCTCTCTCTCTTTCTCATCCACTTTCCTCGCATTTCCCCTCTTTCTGTTTTCCTCCATGTTTTGTTGTTTTGCCTCCGACCCCCCTCTTTCGCTCATCCTCTCCAAGTCCTTCCGTAACCTTTCTCCTCACTTGTTTTTCTTTTTCTCCTCCTTCTCCTCCTCCTCCTCCTCCTCCTCCTCCTCCTCCCCCTTCCTTGCCCCTCCCGAGCTTCCCTTCCCTCTCCCTCATCCGCTGCGGGGCATGGCGGCCCCTCCATCTTCTCGGGGGCCACCTGCAGCGCACAAGTGTCGAGCAACCGGTGCGGCCCCTTTGCTGGCACCTGAAAGGGCAGGCATTGAGGGCCATCCTGGCTGTTTCTCGCGAGTTGGGGGGAAGGATCATTGCGCCAACTTCGCACAGCAAATGGTGGTGGTGGTGGTGATGGTGGTGTTGCTGCTGCTGCTGCTGCTGCTGATGATGATGATGATGATGATGATGATGATGATGATGATGGTGGTGATGGCGATTATGGTGATGGTGATGGTGATGATGAGGGTCATTGCGCCAATTTCGCAGTGCAGATTTCGATCGGAAACGTAAAGAAGAACCCCGGATCTTCTCTGAATTTCGTTCTGGATATTGTTGTGAATTTCTGGCGGATTTCTGTCACTCGGGAAATGAGACTTGAAAATGTCCACGTGAAGTGCATTGAGTTTTTCGCTCGCCCTTTTGGGGTGTTTCGTTTGTAGAAATCAACGCCAGAGCCATGATGAGGGGGTCTTTCTCGAACCCCCTCTTTGTGCCCCCATCTGCACCCTGAATTCTTGCGCTCAAGGGCGCTGTGTGAAAGTAAGCATGCTGGAACCCCCTGCGAAGGCCCGAAGCTGGGGACGGTCTCCTCCCTCACCCTTGGGTCCTTGTCACTGCCACTGTATTTGCTGACCTGGTGCCCGCGCAGAACTGTTTAGATGCTTACCAATATTCTGCTAGCTGCAGCGCTGGCAGGCCATTGGCTTCAACAACAACTTGGCTGTCCAAAATCCTGGCCCCCTCGATATTGACGATGATGATGATGATGATGATGCTGATGCTGATGCTGATGCTGATGCTGATGCTGATGCTGATGCTGATGCTGATGATGATGATGATGATGATGATGATGATGATGATGATGATGATGGTGGTGGTGGTGATGGTGATGGTGATGGTGATGGTGATGGTGATGGTGATGGTGATGGTGATGGTGATGGTGATGGCGATGGCGATGGCGATGATGATGATGATGATGATGATGATGATGATGATGATGATGCTGATGCTGATGCTGATGCTGATGCTGATGCTGATGCTGATGGTGATGGTGGTGATGGTGATGGTGATGGTCAAGGTGGTGGTGGTGGTGGTGGTGATGGTGATGATGGTGATGGTCGTGATGCTGATGCTGATGCTGATGCTGATGATGCTGATGATGATGCTGGTGATTATTATGATGATGGTGATGGCGCTGATGTTGATGCTGATGCTGATGCAAATAATGATGGTGAAGGTGATGGTGATGATGGTGATGGTGATGATGCTGATGATGGTGGTGATGATGATGATGATGTTGCTGCTGCTGATGATGTTGATGATGGTGATGGTGACAGTGATAGTGATGGTGATAGTCATGGTGATGGTGATGATGGCGATGGCGATGGTGATGTTAACGACAGATGACGACGATGACGATGATGATGACGATGACAGTGATGATGACGATGACACGATGACACGATGACACGATGATGATAACGTCATCGTAATCGTCATCGTCGTCGCCCCGCGTGGCGCGAGGCCTGCTGGAGATCCTGCAGAGCCAGTCCCAGAAGATCGCCGCGCTGGAGCGGGGCGCCCCGCTCTGA